AGAACAAGCATATAAACTCGAGGGCCTCGGGCCGCATGCCTAGTTTATTTGGCCCAGGTTAGCCTTTGAGTTTGACATGCTTGCTCTAGAACAGTGTTTCCCAACCTTCTCTCATGATGAGAATCACCTGGTGGAGTTGTTAAAACACAGATTCCTGAATCCCAACTAAGAAGTGCTAAACTAGAATTTTTGAGAACATATAGGTAAAATTGTATACCTAACTAGTGCTCTAAGACAGATTTTATATACAGAGCACTAAGTTAGGTATGCAATTTTACCTATATGTTCTCAAAAATTCTAGTTTAGCACTTCTTAGTTGGGATTCAGGAATCTGTGTTTTAACAACTCCACCAGGTGATTCTCATCATGAGAGAAGGTTGGGAAACACTGCTCTAGAACCTCATGGAAAACACTGACCACAGGAGATCCCATGTTAGGAACTGGTAATGCTACACTTATTTGTCTTTAATTGGCTGCCTAGCATTTGGAATGCCTTTTCCTGAGAAACATTGAAAATGGTGACTGGCAAGGTTCCAAGACTAATCCAATCAAACAAAACCTATTTTAAGCAATACATAAAAAATGTACACATTAAATGTGATAAATAATACTTCTAATGTAAATATACTGAACAATGTTTAAGACACACGCTTCTCTATGACAGCTTATTAGATTTGAGTTGAAGATCCCCTCCTACAAGCCCCCAGTTTTGGCAAACCAGATGATATACTGACCCTTAAGCACACTGCCAGTTCCCAGTACCTCTCCAACAACATCCAAAACAACTTCCCATGATGAAACATATTCTGAAACAGAGCTTTAATATTCTTGTTGCAACACAAGACTGCAGTACAGGTAGAAGTAGAGAGGAGAAGAGTAGAGAAGGACTTTTCTGACCTTCCTTAGGCCCCAGGTAAGCCTGACTGACAGATCACACTACCCTCAGACCATGGCCTTGATCCTCCAGACTTCCTAAGCTGCATGGGGGCAATCATCAGGTGTTCTCATCCTCTCCTCAGAGCCCAGTACTGTGCCTGCACATGTGGAAAAAATGAATGATTATTTAAGCCTAGCTTCCAAACTTCACCATCATTCTTCCTCCTTCTGTACCGTTCATCATTCTCTCCCTTCTACCCACTCCAAAGTTAATTTAAGGACCCAGCAAGGCTGGGCTTTTCTGCTCTAGCTTCAACTCCCAAGTAGACATGAATATTTCACCAAAATGTTGGGTACTATATCTTTGAACAGAGAGCAGTGTCAACCACACACACACACACACACACACACACACACACACACACATGCATACATACTTCATGAACAATAGCTGTTTGAAAACATGGCATTAAAAAGAAATATTGTGGCTCAGGAGACATTTGGCCTTATTGTGGGGATGCTGGCTATTAATTCTTCAGTTTGTTTTTGTGGGTTTATTTTTGTTTTTTTTTGCTAAATATCAGTTACACAAGTTTACTAATAAACATTTATTAAAATAATAAATGAACACAATGAATGATGTAAATACTTTGGGTATTTACAGACGGGAATGTTTAGATTCATCAGTTTACATCTCTTGATTCGATTTCACTTTGAGTCAAGGATACCAGTCCTAATAATTTTAATATATTCATAAAGTAATAGAAGAGAAAATAAACACAATGACATCAGTGTACCTCCTACTCTCATACCACCAACTGGCAAAAAGTCCCACATCAATCTATACTTCTCTATATAATATAAACCAAGATTAGTTTACTTGTTTAAAATATCTGAAGCTATTAAAAAAGGAAGTGGAAAAAGTTATTGTTTTTCTAAATGTACAGCTCTTTCAAAGTTTCAATTCAATATATGAAGTATCAATGATATAGTAAAAGTAACATCTTCTGTATTGATAAACTATGGGCCATGTGCTGTATCTGATAGATATGTGCTGTTAAGAAGCCCAGTTTTATACATTGCTTTGGACATGTTTTATTAAATAGCACCATTTGATAAAATAGCTCAAATTAGTATTTTTGCAAAAACTGTTTGCCCTAGAACAAAAATTTCTTAGATCATCAAATATAAAACTGTAACAAAAATATCTTAGATCATCAAATATAAAACTGTAACTATTTCTGCCGAGACCGGTTTGGCTCAATGGATAGAGCGTCGGCTTGGGGACTAAAGGGTCCCAGGTTCGATTCCGGTCAAGGGCATGTACCTTGGTTGCGGGCATATCCCCAGTAGGGGGTGTGCAAGAGGCAGCTGATCGATGACTCTCTCTCATCAATGTTTCTAACTCTCTATCTCTCTCTCTTCCTCTCTGTACAAAAATCAATAAAATATATTTTTAAAAAACAAATCAAAAAAACAAACAAAAAAAAACTGTAACTATTTCTGTTATAAGCAGTCCAAAATAGATACGTTATTTCTAGAAGATAGAAACATCAGCGGAGAGAAATATTCAATTAAGTAATAAGACAGAAAGATAGAAGCATATAGCTCCAGTTCTGGGGATGACAGCACGCAAAGGCACAGAGTCTGGCTCATTTCTTGCTCTCCCTGAGTAATTTGTGTCCTTTCACAACAGTCACCACTATTTCTCAAGGCCATCTTTCTTTCCACCCATTTTTATTCTCCCCCTTTCCAAACTTCAGACTCATCAACTTTCTCTTCAGCCTCATCTAAGAGACTAGTTTTCTACCCTCAAACTCCTTCGCCCAGATTTTCATAAAATTATAGTGAGAAGAGATCATCTTGGAATTGGATCAGTGCTAATGAGTCAAAGAAAAGGTACCCGGAGAGCATGGAAGAGAGGCGAAGAGGCCGTGAAAGGAAACGGGACACCACAGGCTTCAGGTCTGATCCGCCTGAATCTGAAAAATACTCCTCTTTACACAGCAGCAAGGCAGAGCAGGCTACATCCCACTAAGCCTCTAAGTTAAGAAATACCATCTACCCACACTAGGTAGCTGATTACAGAAAGCAAGGAAGCAGTCTCAGGTTTCGTAAGTGGATAGCCAGGGCACCTTTCCTCCATCTGCCAGTGAGAGGTCACCTGTGTCCCAGTGGCTACTCTCATTCCTCCGTCTTAGCTCACAATATTATATTATTTTATGTCTTCCATGAGACTCACAAGTTTTCAAATAAGGCAGCTGCATAACCCTATCCTATTTCATTGGTGATGTTTTACCAAAAGCATCATTAGAAAAGGTTTAACTATGACACAAAGATATATTCTATCCTTGTTCTCAATTCCCTCTGAGACTCAAGAGGTGGGAAGGGAATGGCAGACAGGAATGGGAACTCCTGGGTGTGGCTCTGGACTATATGGAGATTGGAGGACCTTGACAATGTCTGAACTCTAAAGTATGCAAGTGCAATTACCTGCTAAAGAGCTTTACAAAATTGTGTAATGGGAAACCCTGATGCAATATCTAAATAACTCTAATCACTCCTGAGATGAAGGGAAGGACACATTTTTCCCAGCTCTTATAGGCAGAGCATAACTTCAGTGAATAGAACACAGAAGAAAGACTTTAAAGGGAAAAAAAATCTCATTAAAAACTGTCTTTTAACCATTTTCAATTGCAATGGCTAATTAAAATAGCTTACTTCTCAGTGTCAAACTTGAGAGCTTCTGAAAAAGAACACACTTTTCCAAAGAAGTTAAAGCTACATCAATGTCACAGAATTATTTGTCGGTGGAGCAGAGACACCCACCAGCCTGAGTGGCTGTGCCCGGCCTTGAACTATCCCAGTGAGCAAAATAAACTTCTATCTTATTTAAAAAAAAAAAAGAAAAAAAAAGAAAAAAAGAAAAAAGAATTATTTGTCTCAACCAGAAATAATTCCAGCAACACATTTTCTCTACAGCATATATCCCACGCATTGTACTGTATTCGTGCTGTAACCACTCCCCCATTTACTCTTAACAACAAACACAAAAAACTACAGGAATACATTTTCGTTTCTAGGGAGGCAAAGTCCTAATGTGGAATGTCAATTTCCTCTCCTGCTGGGATGCAGTGCGGTATTGCAAAAGGGCTATAAAATTTGAATCCTAAGATTCTTTATAAAATCCTGTTAACTCAATTTTCTCACTTCAAAAGTTTTAAATGCCTTAAAGCCAAAAACAACTGGAACAGTTGGATAAAATAAATGGTGACCTGTCAAAATGATACCACCACTGCTGCTGCTAGAAGACCTGCATGTATCAACCAATCGAATGTCGTGTCAAATAAAACTAGAGGGGAAAGTTTGCAGATTTTAAGAAAACTGTACACACGTAGGCTTCTAGGACAACCTCTAGGTGCTGCTGTCGAGACCCCCCTTCCTAAGACAATTCTTTCCTGGTGCGGTAGCATCCCCATCCCCCTGGCTGCACTGCACTGCGCAAAGCCAATACGGACAATCACTTCGAGCATATTTGCTACTGAAAAGCCTCAGAAACTGACATTCTTCGAGACTCGAGGAGCCAAACCATGGCTCTTTTATCTTTCTTCCCAGATTATCATGGAGAGGAATGAGATAGACAAAAATATTAGCAGGTTAGCAGGATGTGTCAAAGCACTCAGGAGGCGGAAGAAGAAGAAGAAAAAAAAAGACAGCTACCCTTGGAGTCCCCCGCGCCCCCAGCCATCTCTCCGCACGGACTGTTACTAAAGGTTGAACGCAATCCTGTGCATCGTTTAGGGGCGTCGGCGGAGATCTGGCGATGTGGGCTCAGAGCGCAGGGCGGTTCCTGCGACAGCGAGCTCTGGGCAGCCCCGGCTCCGTCCGAGCCGCCCGCTCCCGCATCCGAGAAGCGAGAGGAGGCGGTGGCAGCTCCGAGGGAAACCGTGCGGGCGTCGCGGGGAGGGAGAGGCCCTAACGTTCGGGCCGGGGGAGCCAGTGCCCCGCCTAGGTCCCCGCGCCCGGCGCCTCCTCTCCCTCCTCCTCCTCCTCCTCCTCCTCCGCGGCAGCAGCAGCATCCCGACAGCCGCGGGCAGGGGCCGGCGGGCCGGGCCGGGCGTTACCTGTGATGGACCAGGTCCAGCGGTAGAACTCCACCGTGTCGTTGAGCGCCGTGGACATCGCGTTCAGGACGCTGCCGGGCTCTGCATCCAGGAGCCCCATCGCTGCGGGCCGGGCGGCGGGGGAGTGGGGTGGGGGGGAGGAGACGGCGGAGACCCCGAGGGAGGGCAGACCCCGGCGGCGACGGCCGAGGCAGCGAGCGGGCGGGCGGCGGCCGGGTCCCCTCTACCGGCGGCGGCTCCGCGGCGTCCTCTCCTCCTCCTGCTCTGCTCGGGGATGCGGCGGCGGGGACCGGCCGGCGGCGGCGGAGCAGGAGCGGGGACCGGCGGGGCTCCGCGCAGCAGCAGGCGGAGGAGGAGCTCCAGCCGTAAGCGCCGGGCGCTGCACCAGTCTGCCGCCGCCGCCGCCGCCGCTCCAGTGTCCTCGGCCGCGTCACGTGGGGGGCGGGGGCCGGCGGCCCCTCCTCCCGCCCGCGCCCGGCCCCGGGCGGAGGGGTGCTGCGGGCGGGGGGCGGCGGGAGCCAGGGATGCGCAGGCGCGTCCCGCCCCCTCGACCCCTCTTCTCCCCCCCCCCCACTTCCCCTCCCCTCCCGCTTCCGGGGTCGCGCGGGAGCAGGACACCTGCGCCTCCGGATGCCACCCTCCCTCCCGGCATCATCATCGGCCCGCGGAGGAGGGCGCCGCCTCCCACGGCTGACCTTGCATCCGCCCAGGTTGCATCTTAGGAAACAGGACCAGGAAGCATGGGCGTTCTGTGGCGAAGGATGAGGCAGGCGGACGAGGTGCTTTGGTCCTTTAGCCTGTCATTGACTTGTCTTTCCCTTGGGTTCTTCTGCTGTCTTCTTCACCCCTTGTCTGTGTGTGCAGGCCGCCTTGGTGACCAGGGACAGGCACACGTTATCCCTCTAAAGCCTGGAAGCTGTAGGGATGGGAGAATGCATTTGGGGATCTGGCTACTCGCGAACATGGGGGGGAAATCCGTGCAGGTGGAGGGACGACGTGAGTTAATAGGTGGGTTTGACCCCCATGTTGTTCAAGGGTCAGCTGTAATTTGAATGAAGGCTTGCACGTGTTCTGTAGAGCCCTTTATATATATATATATATCAAAGAGGCATAATGGTGCTAAATTAAGCCATTAGGAGTTCAGTGGAGAGTGAGGACCAAAAGGGACCTGCCTTCAAGTTAGAGAAATCAGCTTGGACCTGAAAGAAATGAGGTGAAACTGGAAGGATTGACTGGTCAGGAGACAAAGGGCAATCCAGGCAAAAGAAGATGAAGTAAATTTTTTTATTTTTTAAAAAATTGTTTAGATAAGAAGGTGGGAGGCAACGTGATCATCTGCCCCTGGAAAGTAGTAAAAATACACTATGTACAGTTAGTATCTTGATAATTTCTGGCATCAACCAAGATCTTTGAAGATAGTCCAATAATCTTTTCACCTACTTGTTATTTAAACATGTCACCTGCTTCTTGTTTACCTTTTCTCTAATTGTTGGCTTAGACACCACGCAGTGTGTGTGATTGCTTCGGTTCTTTCGACACTGTTAAAATAATGTGAATATTTTCTCTTATATTTATTTGATTTATTTTCCAATTGACCTGGTTACATATTATTTGGCTTTATTTTATATTAGAAGCAACTTAGAGGATAAGAATTTGGGGTTCCTCATTGAGGACCTAACTCAGTGTTATAAATAATGATAAGAATGATGATGTCAAAATTATAACCCTTTTTTATAAGAACATAGTATGGACTGTTACAAGTGGCAAGAGCTTTAGGGAGTGAAGAAGTAAATACAACTAATGATGTAGCCCTAGCTGGTTTGGCTCAGTGGATAGAGCGTTGGCTGGCAGACTCAAGTGTCCCAAGTTTGATACTGGACAAGGGCATGTACCTTGGTTGTGGGCACATCCCCAATAGGGAGTATGCAGGGGGAGCTGATCAATGTTTCCCTCTCATCAATGTTTCTAACTCTCTATCCCTCTCCCTTCCTCTCTGTAAAAAAATCAATAAAATATATTAAAAAGTAACGATGTAGCCCTAACTAGTTTGGCTCATTGGATAGAGCATCGGCCAACGGACTGAAGGGTCCCATGTTTGATTTCAGTCAAAGGCATGTACCTTGGTTGCAGGCACATCCCCAGTAGGGGTGTGCAGGAGGCAGCTGATCGATGTTTCTAACTCTCTATTCCTCTCCCTTCCTCTCTGTAGAAAATCAATAGAATATATATTTTTTAAAGTAACGATGTATCATTTAAACAATCACAGTTTTCATTAAATGTTCTCATCTTGAAATTAACAAATAGAATATAGTTTATCAAATATACTTACCAGATTTAAGTATTTTGGATTAAAATTATGGTTTCTCAAGTCTCAACCCCAAATTATCAGATTCTAGTAACGACATAAAAAGAATTCAGCCAAGCCTCTACATTTGAAGAGTTGATAAAGATCATTGATCTAGCCAAGTTCATATTAATTTGAACTTTGTGTAGAGTTGATTACTACATCTATTTTGTGAAACACATGTTTTTTACAAAGAACAGATCCCAACATCACCCTCAGTCACACACAACATCTTGTTTAATAAATATGAATTTGTTAAAACAGGTTCAGATATTTCCACAGCCTCTTTTATAGTGGAGGCCAATCTAAGTCCCACTGTTCACTAGGGGGCGCCTGTCACATATAAGAAAATCCTAGACAAGTGATGACAACTATGTCAAGAGTGGAATATACATCTCATATCTCATACTCTACCAGGAAGAATAGTACATTTATTGACATTTATAGATATCTACATATAGCCTAAGAACTAGAACCCTAGAAATTACCCACTCTGGAGCCCTATCACCCAGCCCAGAGATGATCAGTCCAATATTCAATTCACAAGTGGTTTACAAATACCAAAACCTACCTACCTAGTCTGTCTGTCTGTACAAAGGGAAGAAGACCTACATGTTCACTCCCTGGAATGACAGCCATCTACCCGAGACATCGTGACAAAACAAAATAAAAAAAACAAGTTTCCAAAGTATCTGCAAAACAATGAATTTACATTCATTCAATATTCATTTACAGTCTTCATTTCCCCAGTTGTGTACCCTAAACTGCTGCTGTCATTTAATCAACTCTAAGATGTATATTTTTCCCACATGTAAATACCCATAATATTAGGATACTACTGACCCAATCAATATCAACTGTGATGTAATGGTATCAAAACCTCCTGTAGGCACCTTCTCTAAGATAAAGAAGTACCAGTGTCATCAGCCAACAAGAGCTAAAGTTCTGAACAGGGGAGGGCAAACTCCACTGATGACATGCATGTCACAATACTTATCCAAAGAACTGACAATGCTATTACTGCTTTGGTTTAAACAATAAACTCTGAATGGAAGGTTTAGTTGATATCAAATGAGGAATTTAACTTTTAAGTAAGTCAGTATTATATTGATTGTGTTTCAAAGTTCACCAAATCTATATTCTCATTTTATTCATACCATGGTTTTAATTATTAAAACCTCATGCTAGCCATAGCTGCTCTTGACTGGCCCACTTTTATTTGCCTTTGCTAATGTCGCTGCCACTGTCAGGCCTATAATAGAGTTAGGTGTCCCAGAGCTCCCTTTTGTCCCAGACTGATTGTAAAGTCAGCCATTGTTCTCTGGGTGAGACCCTCACAAATAGGAAGCTGAAGGCATTCTGCGGCTTCACTGTCTCAATAGCCTGGGCAGGGCTGTTGGATGCTTTTGCACTATCCACAAACTCATCCAGCACCTCCTTACTAGGGGTCTTCTTGTGTTTCCTGAAAAGCCCCAACATTTTCCAGGCTTCCTGGATTCTCCCCTCCCCTAAGAAGAGGACAGCTATCCAGTTCAGAGGGTTGGCTGGCCAATCAGGAGCAATTTGGCATCTTTGACTTTCATAAGTAGACTTGATATCTGCAGCATAATCATTGAACTCCACCTGAAGCTCTGATGGATGCTGGTACCTTGCCATGAGCATCATAATTTCTTCTTTCAGGTCACTGTGAAAAGTGTGACCATATTCTTTATTATCTTTCTCAATTTGAGGAACAATTTCTAGCATGTTGGCCACATCCAATGCTTGGAGAAGATCTATAACTGTTTGGGAATGGAAAAAGAAAACTTTAGTATGTTATATTTCATTAAATTTTTAAGATGTTTACTTTTTGTTACCTTATTATATAAAATGGATATGGATTCTTCTAATAATTCATAAGTACTTTAAAAAGTAACAAACAATACAATGAAATGAAAATTTCCCCATAATCTCATCTTTCATTCTTAATAGAATATTTTTCCAGATGATTATATAAACTCATTTTTCTTTACAAAAATGGTTCTTTTTATAATGCTATTGTATAGTTTGCTTTTTAAAAACTTAGTAATAATCAAGAGCACTTTTTAATATAAGAATACCAACTACTTAATATTCCATTACATGGATATACCATTATTTATTTGGTCACTATACTACAGAATACAGGCATTTATATTATTTCTAATTTGAGCTATTATATTGATTTGACTAGTAATATTTATATACACACAATTTTGTGAACTTGTCTAATTATTTTCTTGGCATAAATTTCTACAAGGGAAATTTTTGGATTATGAAGTCTTAGTTGAAAAATTTGATACATTATTCTTGGTTACCCTCCAGAAATGTGCTAATTCACAATTCCACCAAAGCTTATAAACGTGTACTTATTACCCCACACCTCATTCACCTTTCTGAATTTAACTATTCTTTGTAAATGATTACCAGTCTATTTAACTATTGCTTAATGGTTTAATATGTGAATATGGGAAATTTATAGGATAAAAGGGTAATATTTAAGACTTAATTGCTTTGCCAGTAATGATCAATTGGAATTTGGAATTTAAAAAACAATACCATTTACAATGGCATCTAAAGAAATTAAATACTTAGTATAAATCTAAATTAATTATAAACAAGATCTGTACATGGGAACTACAAAACTCTAAAGAATACATCAAAGGTATATAAATAATTGGAATATCATGTTCATTGATTCCATGTTCATTGATTGGAATATTAAATATTGCTAAGATGTTGATTATTCACAACCTGATCTACACATTCAATGCAATACCAATCAAAATCCCAGCAAGCTATTTTGTAAATATTAACAAACCGAATTTAAAGTTTTTATGGAATT